ACGCGTGCGACAACGTCAAGGAGAAGAGCTACGTCAAGCTCATCACCAAGACCAACAAGGTCATCTCTGAGTTCTACTCGGGCGTCTACGCCGACTGGGTCTCGGACTCGGTCAACGAACTCTTTGTGTACGACTCGGCGGCCAAGACGCTCCAGGCGGCTAGCAACGGTCAATGCCTCGACGCGTACCGTGACGGCGACAAGTTTGGTCTCCACACGTACGCCTGCGATGCCACCAACGGCAACCAAAAGTGGATCATCGACGCGGCCAACCACAAGATCAAGCACGCAACGCACAACAACTTGTGCTTGGACGTGGACCCGACTAACCCGAGTAACGCGGCGCAGGTGTGGGAGTGCCACAACGCCAACACCAACCAGTGGATCGACGCTGTCAAGTACTAAGCCTTTCGAGATGCAATCTGCATTATTGTGTAAGCAATCATGAACAATGGATCTGTTTCATTCATTTTGATTGCGATTTGTGCCGAATATGGAAAGAGCTGCTCACCGCCATACCAGTACGTCGTGTTGGACTATTCGGATACCATGTCAGGAGCACCAGGACGTACATGTAAGTGAAAACCTCACCATTGAGCGTGGCCCAAGTGTTTTATTCCCTTGGCTTGGCCCAACCATCCCATCGCCCTCAACCGGTATGCTGGACCATTTCTATGGCGTGGCACTTTAAACGAGCACGCCCTCGCAAGATGATTATTGGATCTGTGTTTGCACTTTATATGGTCTTTATAAATGCTCGTTACTTCGGTGACCCCATTTCCTTCGTTGACATGTCGCTATCGCAAAGTGATGTGGAATGGCGGTGCAGCGACAACGTCTCGCGACATCGTCGGTGCTAGACATCGCAGATGTCCACAGATACCGTCGATTGGCTTTGGACGCTGCCGAGGTGCTCGAGTTGCTCGATACCATTTCTCTCGGCCGTCGCATCATGGCCAGTGCGGACGAGAGCCAAGACGAGGGTCAGGAGCTGGAAGCTCGCATCAACTCGGTGCCCACATACTCGTATTCGGGTAGCCCTAAAATCGACGAGGTTGACAAAGATGTTCCACTCCAGCTTTTTGCACTCCAGATAGATAGATAGGAAGGTAGATAGATAGATAGATATGACGTTTCTTCGTGAAAAGCAACACAGCAGTACTGGATATAAGCTCATAGCAGCATGGTCTGACAGCGCTCGAACAAAGCGTCCATTCGCGCCGAAAGTCGACTGAGAGTAAAACGTAAAAAGCACTCATATCGACTACACTTGTACCAACTGCTTTTCGCAAATGTGTTGACGCGTAGCTTAAGGTCAAAAGTCTCCTTGGTCTCCAAGCCTTACATTTTGAGTTGGCTAGTGTGAATATTGGCATCCGTGGATTCATGTAGTCGTTATTGTCCGATAAAGCTAGCAAATTATGATGTCCTCTAGTTCTCGTAGGATTCCTGTGGGATAGCTCTCGTTAAAACGGCGTCTTCCAATGCAAGGAGCTATGGGACTCGTTCCTTACTTTAACTTGATCCTTTCGCGACAATTAGGTGCCAGTTGAATGCAGCGTCAACCCGCAGCTCGGCCATACGTCGCGCTGGCACCACTCGATGGTGACGCCCGCTTGCTTGGCCTGGTCGTCGACCGAGAGCGTGCGTAGGCTGTTGGTCAGTTTGATCGACACGTTGGTGCACGTGGCGAGGGCCGAAAGCATTGCGCGTGCGGCCGCGATCAGCACCTTGTTGCGCGAGAGGTCGATTATGGTGCGATGGCGCGCATGGGTGTTGCGGAGTCCGTTGGCCAAGGCCGTCGCGCCATGCGTATCAATACCGCAGTCTTCGAATGCCACGGCGTGGGCACCCGCACGGATGCATCGCTGGACCGCGTCAATGGCGCAGCCAATGTTCCTGCCAAAGATCGCACAGCTCATCCACGTGACCGACTCGAGACGGGGCGAGCGCGTGACCCAGTCGAGCACGTGGGCCACGCTTGTGGGCGTCAATTGCACTCTCCAGAATTCAAGCGTTCGCATCGCCGACACCGCGGCGGCATTGAGCCTCGGCAACGTGCGCAGATCGATGCGTTTGAGGACGAGTTGCTCGAGCGCCACGAGCTCGGAGAGCGCTTGAGCAAGTCCAACGACTTCGACGAGATAAAAAA